AAAAAGAGTTGGAGGGCTGGTTCTGGGTTCATGTTTATGGAGGTTATCACAGCTAGGGGTGTGGGCTGGCAAGAAAGCAATGAAGCTAGTAAATGCTGAAAAGTAATGTATTGTGAAATGGGAAGGTGGGGGATCTGAAAGGGATCTGACCAGCCAGAGGGAGTGAGATGTGATTCTAAGGCTGGGAGGCTACTGGCCGTTTCTGGAGGGAGACGTAAGAACTTCCTGCAGTGCAGGTTTTATTATGAGTAGCCACTAAACCCATGCCTTAGCATGTCTGAAAAAACAATTCCAAAGTGTTTTGCAAAGCAGCCCTCATTCTGGGATGAAGTTTGGGATTTGTGTAAGTTCTGAAAGACTATGTATTGGTTTAGAATGTTACAGAAGTAGCATCCTTACCCTCATGCAGACTGATCATTGTTTCAGCAGCTTCAAGCTGAATGGTCATCTCATTCTGCAGTTTGCTGTCGAAAGCAAATGCAAACTACAACAGCAACCTTTCTTCTGTTTCTCTCCTTAATGGCTAAAAAGCCTATTTTTCATGCTCATAATCAGTTATAGTATCTGACTTCATCAGTTTTTCTTGCAGAAAAGTAAATAAACCAAAAAAATATTTGAAGCATAAGTGTCTTTATTGAGGCTGGCTTTGAGTTCAAGTATTTGTTTAGCTCAGGTGACTTACCAAATAGTGCAATAAACCCGCCAACCTGGTTTGCTTCTGTTTTGCTTCCTTTTTCTAAGACAGCACATGCCTTCTGTGCCTCTGTCAGGGCATGCTTCAGTTGCCTTTATGCTAGCTATTGTGATTGTACCTGTTAGAGGGGTCTCTGAGAGAATACACAATAGTTTGCTTTTTTTTTTAATGCTTTCATGAAGGTATCTTGCATAACACTGCAAATATTGATAAAGGTCTTGTGTGTGATAAAAGTATTTTATAGAGGATGAAAAGAAACTAAAACCACAAAGTCAGCAAATTCCTGGGCACATGCTAGGTTTCCAGTTGTGAACTATCCCACTGAAGTAAACGTACAGTTCTTGCTAATTTTTGCCTTAGTCCTTTGTTTAAGAACTCTATTTTACAGGCTGAACCCCTGGTTTTTGATGTTTCTTCCCTTTTTAGTTAAGGAGATAGGATCAAACATGTCTTTCTAGACCAGTTAATGTTGTCTGTAAAGCAAGAAAAACAGAAGTTTAACATGTTTTGGTCTACTGTGTGTATCGTCTGGAGGTTTCTAAAACATAGACGGTGTTTCTGCATCCACATGAACCACCTTTTGCTCAGCTTGCTCAGTGGCATTACGGTGACTTTGTGTTATAGAAAATT